AAACACAGCCAGTAACAACCGCGTTTAAAAACCCAAAATTTTAACTCGCCGTAAAAACACTTTAACCCAACCCCAAAGGGGTTTCCCCCCGGCAAGGTAAAACGGTAACAACGGGAAAGAAAAGGGCACCCCAATTTTTTCAACGGGGGAATTTTAACCCCAAAGCTAAAAAAAATTTTTCCCAAAAAAAATTTCTTACAAAGGTTTTTTTAAAACCAAGGAAATTTTTAACCCGGGAAAGTTTTTTTTTCCCCGAATTTTTTTTTCCCCCCAAAAGGTTTTCCCAAACAAAGGTTTTTTTCCCAAAAATTTTTTTTTAACACGAAGTTTTCCAACCCCAAAAAATTTTTCCCCCGGTTTTTTTCAAAAATTTTTAAACACAAGGTTTTTTTAAACAAAGGGTTTTTCCTCCCCAAAGTTTTCTTCCAGGAATTTTTTCCTCCCAAAAAAGTTTTCTCCAAAAACAAAAAGGGTTTTTTTTCCAACACAAGAATTTTCCCCAAACCAAAAGTTTTTTTCCAACACAAAAAGTTTTCCCCAAAAACAAAAAATTTTTTTCAACACAAGAAGTTTTCTCCCAACCCCCAAAAGTTTTCCCCAAAACACAAAATTTTCTTAAACACAAGAATTTTTCTCCAACCCAAGAAGTTTTTTTAAACCCACAAAAATTTTTTTAAAACCAAAAAAGTTTTCTCCAACACAAAAATTTTTTTTTCCAACACAAGAATTTTTTTCCCCAACACAAAAGTTTTCTCCCCCAACAAAAGTTTTTTCCCAAACAAATAAGTTTTAAAAAATTTTCTTTCCAACACAAGAATTTTTCCCTTCAAAGGGAAAAGTTTTCTCCAAAAACAAAAAGTTTTTCCAACCAAAATTTTCCCTTCAAAAACAAAGTTTTCTCCAACACAAAAGTTTTTTCCCAAACAAAAGTTTTTTTCCAACACAAGAATTTTTTCCCCCCAACACAAAAGTTTTCTCCCCAAAAGAATTTTTCCCCCTTTTCCCCCAACACAAAAAGGTTTTTTTCCCAACACAAGAAGTTTTTTTCCAAAAAATTTTTTTTCAACAAAGATTTTTCCCCCAACACAAACTTTTTTTCCCCAACACAAAAGTTTTCTCCAACACAAAATTTTTCTAAACACAAGAAGTTTTCTTCAACAAGAATTTTTCTCCAACACAAAAAGGGTTTTTTTCCAAAAAACAAAAAGTTTTTTTTCCCCCAACACAAGAAGTTTTCCCCAACACAAAAGTTTTTTTCCAACAAAGAATTTTTCCCTCAACACAAGAATTTTTTTCCCCCAACACAAAAAGTTTTCCCCCAAACAAGAAGTTTTTTTCAACACAAAGTTTTTTTAAACCAAAAGTTTTCTCCAACACAAGAATTTTTTTTCAACACAAAGTTTTCTCCAACCCAATAATTTTTTTTTCCAACCCCCAAAATTTTTTCTCCAACACAAGAAGTTTTCCCCTTTTCCCCAAACACAAGAATTTTTCCCCCCTTTTCCAACAAAAGAATTTTCTCCAACCCCAAAAATTTTTTTCCCCAAACCCAAAAAAATTTCCCCCAACAAAAAGAAGTTTTCCCCAAAACACAAAAGTTTTCTTCAACACAAGAATTTTCCCCCAACACAATGTTTTTTTCCAACACAAGAAGTTTTTTTCCAACAATAAGTTTTTTTTCCCAAACACAAAAAAGTTTTCTCCAACACAAAAAATTTTTTTTCCAACACAAAATTTTTTCTTAAACAAGAATTTTCCCCAAACACAAAATTTTTCCCCCAACACATTAAAGTTTTTTTCCAACACAAAAGGGTTTTCCCCAAACCACAAAAGTTTTTTCCAACAAAATAAGTTTTTTTCCCAACACAAGAAGTTTTTCTCCAAACAAAAGAAGTTTTCCCCAAAACACAAGAAGTTTCCCCAAAACACAAAATTTTTCCCCTCCAACACAAAAAGGGTTTTTTTCCAAACCAACAAGAATTTTTCTAAACCCAAAATAAGTTTTTTTTCCCCAAACAAAAGGGTTTTTTCCCCCGGTTTTTTTCCAACACAAGAATTTTTTTTTAAAAAAATTTTCCCCAAACCCACAAAAATTTTTTTCTCCAACACAAAATTTTCCCCTCCAACCCCAAGAGTTTTCCCAACAAAAAAAGTTTTCCCCCAAAAAAACCAAACAAGAATTTTTTTCCCTTTCCCAACAAAAGGTTTTTTTCCCAACCACAAGAAGTTTTTTCCAACCCCAAGAATTTTTTTCCCTTTCTCCAAAAAAAACCACAAAAAAAGGTTTTCTCCAACACAAAAATTTTTTCTCCAACAAAATAAGTTTTCTCCAACAAAAGAAGTTTTCTCCAACACAAAAAGTTTTCCAACACAAAATTTTTTCTCCAACACAAGAATTTTTCCCCCAAACACAAGAATTTTCTCCAACAAAAGAAGTTTTCCCCAAAAAAAGAAGTTTTTTTTTAAAACACAAAAGTTTTCTCCAACCAAAGTTTTCTCCAACACAAAAGTTTTTTTTCCAACACAAAAAATTTTCTCCAAAAAACCACAAAAGTTTTCTCCAACAAAAATTTTTTTCCCCAACAAAAAGTTTTCTCCAAACAAGAAGTTTTTTAAACACAAAAGGGAAAGGTTTTTTCCCCCAAAAGAGCCAACACAAGAAGTTTTCCCCAAACCACAAGAAGTTTTTTCCAACAAAAGAATTTTTTTTCCAACAAAAAGAATTTTTTTCCCCTTTTCCCCAAACAAAAGAATTTTTTTTCCCCCTCCAACACAAGAAGTTTTTCCAAAAACAAGAATTTTTCTCCAACACAAAAAGTTTTCCCCAAACAAAAGTTTTTTTCCAAACACAAAAATTTTTTCCAACACAATAATTTTTTCTCCAAAACAAAAAGTTTTCCCCAAAACCAAAGTTTTTTTCCAAACACAAAAATTTTTTCCCCAACAAAAAGAAGTTTTCTCCAACACAAAAGTTTTTTTCCAACACAAGAAAGTTTTCCCCAACAAAAATAATTTTTCCCTCCAACACAATAAGTTTTTTTAAAACACAAGAAGTTTTTTTAAAAAAAGGGTTTTTTTTGTTGTTTTTTCCAACACAAAATTTTTTCTCCCCCTTTTTCCAACAAAATAAGTTTTTTTTCCCTTTTCTCCAACAAAAGAAAGTTTTCCCAAACCTTTTCCAACACAAGAAGTTTCTCCAACACGAATTTTTCTCCAACACAAAAATTTTTCCCCCTCCAACACAAGAAGTTTTTTTTCCCAACACAAAATTTTTTCTCCAAAAACAAGAATTTCCCCCAAAACACAAGAAGTTTTCCCCCAACAAAAATTTTTTCCCTCTAACACAAAAATTTTTTTCTCCAACACAAGAATTTTTCCCCCAAAACAAAAAATTTTCTCCAACATAAAAATTTTTCTTCAACACAAATTTTACTCCAACACGGGAATTTTCCCCCAACACAAAAAATTTTCTTCAACACAAGAATTTTCAAAAAACCCCGAAAAGTTTTTTTTCCAACAAAAGAATTTTTTTCCAAACCCCAAAAGTTTTCTCCAACACAAAAAGGTTTTCTCCCAAACAAAAAGGGTTTTCTCCAAACAAGAATTTTTTCTCCAACAAAAGGAAGTTTTCCCCAAACACAAGAAGTTTTTTTTAAACCACAAAATTTTTCCTCCAACACAAAAATTTCCTTTTCCCCAAACCCAAAAGAATTTTCCCCCCAAACCCACAAAATTTTTTCCCCAAAACACAAAAAAGTTTTCTCCAACACAAGTTTTTTTCCCCAACCAAGAATTTTTCTCCAACCAAAAGTTTTCCCCCAAACCACAAGAATTTTTTCCCTCCAACACAAAAGTTTTCTCCAACCAAAAGGGTTTTCCCCCAAACACAAGAAGTTTTCTCCAACAAAAAGAAGTTTTTTTTTCCAAACCAAGAATTTTTCCCCTCCAACACAAAAATTTTCTCCAACACAAAATTTTCTCCAACAAGCATCTTTTTTTTTTATTCCCTTGACTCCTCTCAGGATCTTCAAATTCTTAAAAGAAATGGTTATATATATGACTATATTTTTTAAAGGGGTGGAGGGGTAAGCCAGTTGAAGGCCTCGGTCAGATGACCAAAAGTTCCAGTTGTGGGTCATCATCTGACTAAGACCAGCGTCAGGAAACACTTGTTCTGTTTCCTGACAAACCTTACCTAACCTTCAAATTCTTCAGATTGTCTCGAGGTCTCACAGAGTTCCAGAGGTTACGATAGTTTTAATGGGATCCTCATTGTCCAAAGATGTTTCAGAAAATTTCGGACACGTACGAGGAATTTCCATGAATGTCCATTTTTTTTTAATATACAGAAAAGAGAGAAAGAAAAACATATAACAAGGGAAAGTGAGAGAGAGAGAAAGAAAGAGACATTAATGGTGTAAGTTGGTTGAATTGGGCTGGATCTTCCCCTCTCTCCCTCCTTCCCCTCCTCTACACTCCAAACAGAAGCATCAACAACACAAGAGATGGCTGGCTACTCAGCCCAAGAACTGCACAAGTGGTGTGTGACACTCAGCTCTCGTATTGTCCCTCCCTGCTGGCTCCATACTCACGCTAGCAGGCTGCTAGGTAAACAGGAAGGCAAATAGGTAAGCAGATGGACAGACAATGGAGGCAGAAAAGCAGGAAGGTAAGCAATTAGACAAGCAAATTAACAGGTAAGCAATTAGACAAACAAATTAACAGGTAAGCAGATGGGTGACGCTGCTCACAAATCAAGCTAGACGACTATTATTTTTTTTTTTTGGGGGGGACACCCTTGCCGTAGACGGTATGTTGTAGACGACACAGTATCTGGTAGATAGTACAAAACAGACGGTCCATAGTAGACAGCTCTAGAGTCACTATCATTTTTTGAGGGAACATAGATGCTACAGACAAACTTTGTAAGCACAGTATAAATATTTGACTAAGGATAACCCAAGGTAGAATCAAATGTATCTTCCCGTCTGTGCCACCAGGTATCGGATATGCCATCTGTATCATCGACTTGTACATGGCCATGTACTACAACACCATCTTAGCCTGGAGCGTCTACTACTTAGTGGCCTCCTTCAGCAGTGAGCTGCCGTGGACCTCCTGTGGTAACTCTTGGAACTCCGAGAACTGCACGCTCACGGCTAACGTCCACAACGCCACCGATAAGTCTCTCACAGTCTCCCCTGCCAAGGAATTCTTCAGGTGAGTACTTGCTATGAAAAACAGTGAAGAGTTAAACCTGTGTGGCTCATTCAGTGCAAGGAGTTCTAGAAGTTTGCTTCTCCAACTACTGAAGTGTCTGCAGGCCTTAAATATTTTAAAAACATGATGGTTATGCATTTAGTGAGGCCGAACTACCCACTGAAGCTGATGCATTGTGGAGAAATAAGAATTACTATTATTTTAATCAAAATTGTTATTTCAATTGGATTTCAAATGAAAAATTGAGGAACGTCTTATTATTATCTACACATCACTCACTGTATATGATAACTCACATTTAACAGTTGTGAACATAATTTCTTTAACAATTTATGTGGGTACGCAGTCATCTCTGTAGTAGTAGCAACAGTTTAGTTAGTTTTCATGCCTAACCCTTCTAGGGTAGGGTAGGTGCCTGAGCCCGAGCCTTTAGCTCATAAGACTGTCATTCCCATTTGTCCCCTTGGGGCGGGGATGGCAGACCAGAGAGGCCTAGCTTGTGGCTAGGCCTGGGGACAGTTGGTCCCAAAGATGAGGAGGTACTTGTGCCTCCTCCCATGGGAGACTTAGGTCTCAGACACTCCCTAAAGAGGGAGCCAAGGCCGGGCCACCACTTGGACAAGGCCCGGGCCGGGAGAATACCGGCTAATCTTTAACTAACTAATTAGTTTTCATGCCTAACCCTTCTAGGGTAGGGTAGGTGCCTGAGCCCGAGCCTTTAGCTCATAAGACTGTCATTCCCATTTGCCCCCTTGGGGCGGGGATGGCAGACCAGAGAGGCCTAGCTTGTGGCTAGTGACTAGGCCTGGGGACAGTTGGTCCCAAAGATGAGGAGGTACTTGTGCCTACTCCCATGGGAGACTTAGGTCTCAGACACTCCCTAAAGAGGGAGCCAAGGCCGGGCCACCACTTGGAAAAGGCCCGGGCCGGGAGAATACCGGCGAATCTTTAATAATAATAATAATAATAATTAGTTTAATATAGATCGACACCATGCCTAACCCTTCTAGGGTAGGGTCGGTGCCTGAGCCCGAGCCTTTAGCTCATAAGACTGTCATTCCCATTTGCCCCCTTGTGGCGGGGATGGCAGACCAGAGAGGCCTAGCTTGTGGCTAGGCCTGGGGACAGATGGTCCCAAAGATGAGGAGGTACTTGTGCCTCCTCCCATGGGAGACTTAGGTCTCAGACACTCCCTAAAGAGGGAGCCAAGGCCGGGCCACCACTTGGAAAAGGCCCGGGCCGGGAGAATACCGGCTAATCTTTAATAATAATAATAATAATAATTAGTTTAATATATATAACTACAATAAATGGTTATAAATGACCATAATTTTTATAGGGGTGGACCGGTAAGGCAGCGGAAGGCCTCGGTCTGATGACCAAGAGCTCCAATGGCGGGTCATCATCTGACTAAGACCAGCGTCAGGAAACACTTGTCCTGTTTTCTGAGGAGCCTTACCTAACCTAACCTTAGTTTAATATGTTTAGTATGTGCCCCATACCCATCCTGTGGGCGGCAGTCGAAAGATTACAGAGGTACATAAAGGGTCCAGGGACTGGACCCCAAAATTTTGGTAGCAAGTAGTAGCAAGTAAGCACGGGACCACAATCACTCCCACGAGCCCTCCTGCGGCGAGGAAGGTGCCAGAGCTAGAGCTTGCTACCACCTGCAGCTCACAAGGCTGCCATTTCCACGAGCCTCCCTGGGGTGGGGAAGATGGCAGACCAGAGGTCTAACTTCTCCCTACAAGCCTCGTGAGGGCCGGGAATGGAGCTAGGCCTGGGGACAGTTGGTCCCAGAAGATGAGGAGGTACTTGTACCTCCTCCCATGGCAGACATAGGTCTGAGACACTCCCAAGACAGGGTGCCAAGGCCGGGTCACCATCTGGAAAAGACCCGGGCTGGGACAAGACCTGCGAACCTACAACAACAAGGAACACTTGTCCTGTTTCCTGACGAACCTGACTTATCCTAGCCCAGCCGGACCACAGTTACCTAATAGTTATAATAATAACAATGCTTTTTAAAGAAGCGAAAGGGTAAGCCAGCGGAAGTCCTCGGTCAAATGGCCAAAAGCTCCAGCTGTGGGTCATCATATAACTAAACTAAATATTCCATTCAATGTCTAGTTTAGAGAAATTCTTAAAATCGCACATAAATGCTGCTATTGTTAGAATATCATATAAATACAGATAATATAATATATATTATATATATATATATATATATATATATATATATATATATATATATATATATATATATATATATATATATATATTATATATACATATATATATATACATATATATATATATATATATATATATATATATATATATTATATATATATATATATATATATATATATATATATTATAATAAGGTAAGAGATAATATTATTTCGATTTAACAATTAAAGCCCCTCGTAATCAATGTGACTATCATTGTGGAAGCAAAAAGTGTTACGGCTTATCTCTTGTTTACATTAATGAGGTGAAAACGCGGAAATAATGACCAAAAAATGAAGCGTGGAGTAGTGCAGCACAGTCAGGTCCAGTTACAGTCCTGGGATCACCACACAAGCCTAATCTCCGATACGTCAGCTGGGGCCACTGGTTAATTGGATCGTAGGAGGTTATGGCTCTTAATGACCATAGAGCCGCCTCGAATATTCTGAGATACTTCGAGATTCTTGCATCCATGAAGGCTGTTTTTATATTAACAATGCGATTATTATTATTATTATTAAAAAGCACAAAAGACGTGTTCATCTTGCTAAAATTCTCTATCATTCTTCTTGCCTTCACGGACGCCGTGCTGTTTACCCGGGTTTTATATACGACATTCCTAATGTGAATCTTAGCTACTCATCTCCTCACTCACTCTTACTCTCGTTGACCTTTTTTTCCAGTCATCATTACTAACCTTCCACTGCGTCCTTAACAAAAACTCCCTCCTTCTCTTACCCTTACAGGAAGGAGGTGCTGGTCTCCTTCTCTCAATCGTTCCTACTCATACGTTCCTCTTCCTACCCTTACAAGAAGGTAGTGCTGGAGGTTTCATTTTCCCCCTTCAATACTCCATTAACCATACCTCCCTCCTCCTACCCCTGCAAAAAGGTGCTAGAGGTTTCAATCTCCCTTCTGTACTAACCATATATCCTTCTCAACCCATCCCTGCAGGAAGGAGGTGCTGGAGGTGGACAAGTCTACAGGTCTTGGGGACTTGGGACCAGTCAAGGGCTCACTGGCACTGTGCCTCTTCTCCGTCTTCGTTCTTGTCTACTTCTCCCTCTGGAAAGGAGTAAAATCTACTGGAAAGGTACGTGGTAAGGTCAGAACTGCTGGGAGGCCAGGGATGAACTTAGGTCGGGTCAGGGCAGGTGGCCCCAAAAAGCTCCAGGAACCACTGGTGTGTCCCCACTCCACAAAGGGAGCAGTATAGGAATCGCCCAAAAATAACCATAGATCAATAATAGCATTACCGTCACACATAAAAAAATCTTTGATAGAGCGCTGAGATGATACAGCTGAACCCAAGGAAGGAGAACTATAACACATCCCAGTGCAATATGGTTTTAGAGCGAGACGTTCTCAAAGGGGTTCAAGCGCTACATATATCCATGCTTCTTGAACTGATGGACCACTTGCACATGGTTGTAAACACTGGAAGAAGACAAATACTGATGCAATACGCACACACTTCGTGATCATGGTTTAGTAACACATAAAATACACGTAAAACCAATATCTCGAAGAGTGGACAGATGAGGCTATACACTGAAAAATCTCTGATCCTCAGTCAATTATCTTTTTTTCATTTCTCAATCTGACATAGACGAAGATACCAGTTAAAATCATTATCTCTATGACGTTATTCGTATACGATACAGTAACCCCTTTTATAAAGCCCTCTATTTATAGTGCGATTTTTTGTATATGCGATTGAAAAAAATCCATCTAGAGTTGAACATTACGAGGAAAGGAATTTATAGTAGATGATACTGAATTTTGAATACACTTTTCTGAATTATATTATTAAAAAAATCACTAAATGTAGAGAGTTATGAAAAAGCTTATTAGGTAAAAGGACATATGTGCGACTGATGTGACATTTTATTGTGGCAACGTTTCGCTCTCCAGGAGTTTGACGAAGCTCCTGGTAATTCTACCAACATTAGTACACAGAGTTTACTGTATGAGAACGGTATCCACACTAGACACAGCTGACCTTAAATGTGAAAATGGTATACAATACCTACAGGTTGTATTACATTGTATTATATTGATGGGGAAGCGCTTAACTCGTAAGGTCATTCAGCTCTTGGGGAATAGAAAGGGGTTGAGGATAATCATAAACCTGAATGATTCGCCAGTACTGTCCCGGCCCGGATCTTTTCTAGATGGTGACCCGGCGTGAGGATAATCACCTCTGATCTTGGGTAAGGGAGGGGTGGGGTTGAGTGGTTGAAAGGAGAGGGGTGGGCTAAGGATGTTGAGAGAGAGGAATGGGTGGGGTATGAAGTTTAATGGGGATGTGGTTTGGTTGATAGGAGGGGGATGTGGCTAGAAAGTTGACAGGAGGGGGTGTAGTTAGAAAGTTGATGGAAGGGGTAGGGGTTAGAAGATTTAGAGGGGAGGGGGTGGCGTTGGGTGTGGAGTCATGACAATGGTGTCACTTGTTGCTCTCCGCTCTTGAGAGCCACCTCCCTTCCCCACCCCTACTTATGATTCCTCCTACCCTCTCCCCGGGCCTTCCTTCCCCACTCTCCTCCTCTATCTTTACCTCCTCCCTGAGGTGCCACGCAGCTCATTGGTGAGACCATTCGACTTACAATTGCAAGAGCAAGGATTCGATTCCCTGGCACGGAAAAACATAGGGGGCTTCTTTTATACCCTTGCTGACCTTGCTCGCCTAAAACTTTAGTACCTGACCAGCCGGGTTGTGGCTCAAACACTGGTTTGCGTGCGGCCGACAGTAACAGCCTGGTTGATCAGGCCCTGATCCACAGCGAGGTCTGGTCATGGACAAGACCGCGGGGGCCCGGTCCATGATCAGTCGTGTGCGTAAGAAAATTCCAGTCGCTGCTGGAATTTAATTTATTGTGCAAGAAAACACTCCAGTCCTGTGTGTAAAACTTCCGTACTTGCTGGAAGTATTCAAGTGTTGGGTAAAAAGGTACCAGTAATGGTTACAGCAATAATAATCAAGCGCTAAATTAGATTCATATAGTTTCCCCTCATTTCCTGGGACCCTTCCCATTATTTCCCAGGTGTTATATAACCCATATGAATTTAGTGCTTCACCACGACTACGGTAATAACTTTCTTCCTGACATGCGTGTGTGGTGCTGTTGCAGGCGGTGTGGGTGACAGCGCTGATGCCCTACGTAGTGCTCCTGATCCTGCTGGTGCGAGGAGTGACCCTGCCTGGTGCCACTGATGGCATCCTCTACTACCTCACCCCACGCTTTCAGATGCTCGACAAGCCCAAGGTAATCACTCGTATTTTCTATAATTCAGTTGTGCAATCTGACGTAGTCTAGAGGTTACACTAGAGGCTCCCACCAGGGACCACGAAGAATCAGTTCATAGACGAGTATGGTTGGGTAGCAAACCTGTCCCGCGATTAGTGGAAGGGGGATCGAGCTTACAGTTTTCATAAATAAGTTCTGTTCGTTACTATGAGTCTTCATAGGTTAGGTAGGTTCATCAGGAAACAGTTAAATGATGACCCGCAGCTGGAGCTTTTGGTCATCCGACCGAGGCCTTCCGCTAGCTTACCGGTCAGCCCCTTTAAAAATATGGTTATAATTAAGAACCATTATTATTGCTTCTTACTGTTTTTTTTAAGCATGTTCTGCTGTCTTGGGTCTCATCTGTTCTTTCTTTAATGTGTTATAACTACTGCTACGAGTCCCCCTCCCTAACACCCTTTTATGGTTATGGAGATTTTGCCGCCTTGAATCTCATCTCTCAACGTTGTATATATGGTTCTCTTTGCTGCATGCTTCTTTAATTTTAACATTATTCATGGCTGTGTTGATTTAGGTGTCCCGTGGCTCGATAGCTGGCGCACTCAGCTCACACACTGAGGTCTGAGGTTCGAATCTCCGGTACGGCTGGAAAACATTCGGGACGGGTTTCCATAAGACACCTGCTGTCCCCGTTCGCCCATCAATTTCAATGGGTACCTGGGTGTTAGTCGACTGGTGTGGGTCGCATCCTGGAACAAAACTGACCTAATTTGCCCGAAATACTAAGCATAACAAGCGGCTTTTTATATAGTAGTATGTCACTGATGTCAGCTAGGCTTGTATACCATGTACATGTAGCGAATAAAGATATTATTATTGTTTCAAATGGCTCCGTTTATCTCCTTGAGTCACCCCAACCTGTTAACGTTTTCTGTGGATGTGTTAGAGGGCGTGAGTCTGCCTTACCTATTGACGTTTTCTATAGTTGCTGCCTTCATTAGATAATAATATCTTCATTTACTACAAGTACATGTACAAGGTATACAGGCCTAGCTGACAACAATGACATACTGCTATATAGAAAGCCCTTGTTATACTCCGCATTTCGGGCAAATTAGGTCAGTGTCCCAGGATGCGACCCACACCAGTCGACTAACACCCAGGTACCCATTTTACTGATAGGGAACAAAGACAACAGGTGGAAAGAAACCAGTCCAATGTTTCTACTCTGACTGGGAATCGAACCCAAACCCTCGCCATGTGAAGCGAGAGCGTTGACCACCAGGCCACCAGAGCCACCGATTTTAGATTTTGCTACCGAACGGTTAGTTTATTTATAATGGGTATGTGGAGCATAATATTGTGTGGCCCATATCCATCCTGAAGATGGTTGCACAAGAGCATATGGATACACAAAAGACTTAGGAACTAGGCCGCAAAAGGGCCATAGCTCCTAGGCCTGGATTTGTATCTACAATTCACTTATCTCTTGCAAGTAAATTTAGGGAATTTGTTAAATATATCCGGTATCTTATTTTACTGCCTTGGGAGATCTTAAGTCCCAGAAAATAGAAACTTCAGCAATGCTGGAAAGAAACCTTTAATGGTATACTTGATGATATCCTCATTACCCTACTAAAGTCTCCCAACTCAAGCCGACATTTTAACATCATGTACGAGTATATAAGCTTTCCTGAAAAATGCAATATGACTGGTAAATATAGCTAGCTTTTGTGAGTTGTACAATTGATACATGTTTATATTAAGTCTATGGGGGAAAAATTGGTAACCCTCAAAAGGACACAACCACATTTACTAATACGTATAGATTTTTAAAGGTGGACGGATAAGCCAGTGGAAGGCTTCGATCAGATGACCAAAACCTCCAGTGGCGGGTCATCACATGACTAAGAATTTCAGGAAATACTTGTCCTATTTCCTGATCAAACTTACCTGACCTTATCTAACCTACACTTTTTAACTCCTAAACAAGGTTCGATCAGGTTAAGATGAGCATCGGGACTTCCCTATGGACACAAAATATAACTGTCTCTATTGTACAATCCTTCGGGGAATTTACGTAATAACTTTCCATTCTGCTCAAATCCCAGTAACCGAACTTATTACAATGCATAGACTTCTTTCTCTGTTGATCTGCTGTGGTTCTATGACTATCTTGATTACAATGATGATGATGATGATGACGATAATAATAATAATAATAATAATAATAATAATAATAATAATAATAATAATAATAATAATAATAATAATAATAATGGCTATCCTGAGTCCCAACTCCGTCAGTGATTTATGTGGTTTTTTGGTCTGCCTAGATCTCTCTCCTCTATATTAACATCTATCATTCCTCTAGTTTCATTCCTATAATGGTGTTCCCGGCCTGGAAATTCAGTCTGTGGGGTCATTAACACATTCACCAACAAAGATCACTAATGATCGTTCCCAACTGAGTTCTATTTATCGAAGACTTTAACTCATATCATTAATGCGTGATTTAGATTTCAATTATTATTAAAGATTCGCCGGTATTCTCCCGGCCCGGGCCTTTTCCAAGTGGTGGCCCGGCCTTGGCTCCCTCTTTAGGGTGTGTCTGAGACCTAAGTCTCCCATGGGAGGAGGCACAAATACCTCCTCATCTTTGGGACCAACTGTCCCCAGGCCTAGCCACAAGCTAGGCCTCTCTGGTCTGCCATCCCCGCCACAAGGGGGCAAATGGGAATGACAGTCTTATGAGCTAAAGGCTCGGGCTCAGGCACCTACCCTACCCTAGAAGGGTTAGGCATGGTGTCGATGTAGATTTCAATTGATTTTGTCTGAAAAATACTTAATTCATATTATTTTTTTATAATTACTACCTAATTTATACAATTTTTGGTTATTAATAAGATTTAAGTTTAGTGTTTGCATAGCAAACACAAATTTTAAAAAATAGGCTTCCGATGATTTAAAAAAGTATTTGAATAAACGTATTAAACTAAACTAAAAATAAGCTTGTATTCTTGACAGGTGGTGAGCAAGTGACATGAACATGAAGCCTTAGTGACTTGATAGTAGGAAAGGCCATATATAACCTTACCTGACTGGTTCCTACAGGTGTGGGTGGATGCTGCTACCCAGATCTTCTTCAGCTTGGGACCTGGCTTTGGTACTCTACTGGCCCTTTCTTCCTACAACAAGTTCAACAACAATTGCCTCAGGTAGACTACAACATAGTTTATGTCAAAAATCTTGAAATTATTAAATTCGTTAAGATATCGATAATGATGTGATGATTTAATTCACGTTTAGAAAACATTGTTGATGGTATGGAGATGTTTCTGAGTCTGTGGTTATTACATACACTTTTATCAAAAAAATTCTTCCCAATAATTCAAAGGGAGATTAATTCATTTGGGCCAAGACTAGAGAAGTGACATAACCTTACCATCGAAGGCCCTGACCCGACCATCGGGGTCCTTGATCCGATCATCAAGGGCCCTGACCCGACCATCAGGAGCCCTGAGTCGGACCATCGAGGGTCCTGATCCAACCTTCGAGGGGCCCTGACTGCCATGGGAAAGACCTGACCGGGAAAGTGAGTGACCTGACCATTGGGAACTCCTGAAGGGGTTTAAGTACGCATTCTAAAATTGTCTGCCAGTTTTGCTAACGAGAATTCATTATTTTGGCACTTGTTAGTGGCACTGCCCTCTTCTTCAGTTCTCTCTCTCTCTCCTTTTTTCGCCCTTCCCTCACCTCTTTATTTTCCATTTCCCACTCGTTCATCCTCATTTTCTATCTTCTACATTTTCTCTCTCCTCTCTCCACACCCTGTTTTCAATACACATATCCTCATGATACAGGTATAAGTGTGCCATCGTCACTATACTCTAAACTCAAGCTCCTGGCCCACTAGTGGTGAGAGCAGTATCTTACCACTACCCCAGAGGGCACAAAAAGAATTACACAGGAGAAATGTTCCTGAATTCATGAAGCTGTGAATGGTGCCAGTGAAGCTCTCATTCAGCGCAATGTGGTGAAGACTCGGCCCTCCGTCCGTATGGATCACTCAGCACAAGGAATGGTGGGGACTTCATTTCTACCCATTGACCCCCCCACACCCATACATGTAACCCCAAACCCACCCATCAGAACCCAACACCCGCATATCAGGGCTACACACCCACACATCGTAGCCCCCACACGTCAGGGCCCCACATACCTACACATCGGGGCTCCTTACACCCACACATCAGGGTCCCCACATCCACACATCGGGGCTCTTACACCCGCTTTCATAAATCAGAGAGCAACACCACGTGACCACGTCACAAAATATATGACATAAATATTAATTAGCAACTCGAGTGTGAGCAGCTTGTCACTTATAATGGATGACTGCTCCAGCTGCTGCAATTACTGAGTTTAGGACCCCTTACCCTGACTGTCTGAGGCTGTTACTTTGGCTGTTTGTGGCGCTTAACCTGGTTGTTTGAGGCCCTACTTATGGCTATTTGTATGTGTGTGGGGATCTCACTACTGTTTTCTCTATACTGCGGCAGTTCAGTGATATTCTCACTGTGCTGCGACTTACCCTGGCTGCTTGGAGCCCTTCTAGTGGTTGTTTCTATCTTCGGGGTCCCCCCTCACTGAGGTATTCTTATTTCTGGTTTAGGGTCCGGGAAGAGATGCAAAGGGACAAGAGGAAGAAGAGACGTCAAGCCCGACTCCTGAGATCGTGAACAGGATGGTAAACTATCTTGGTTGTGGAATTAGTCGATATTAAGTTCAACTTGAATTCTCACCTCTCTCTCTCTCTACACACAGCGTTTTACAAGGTTACGGTAAATATTCCAAACTTTATCTAGCACAATAACAGAACGCTCGACTCACATCTCAAGGGTCCCTGGCAGGGAGAGACGTAAGGAAAGTATCCTTACACCTATTGACGCTGTTCACCTAGCAGTAAATAGGCTAGGCACCGGAGTGTTGGCTAACCGGAGTGTCATCTTAGGGATAGGCTGACCTTTAAAATAAATTGAGATAGGATAACAGTTCTTCCCTATACAGCCGAGGAAGGATAACAGGTTGTAAAATGTTGGAAAAAAAATAATAATAGCTCCAACAAAGCAAAGGAACAAGAATTACTTGAAAAAGAAGTCACGAATAAACATCAGAGAAGACGCAACAAGAGAGTTCACACACACATGCATACACACGCACACATGCACACACGCACACAGGTGTAGGTTCCCAGGATATATTGGCTTCCGGGTGCCCGTCATGGTCTGGCTTTCAGGGACCTCTGATTCTGCTTTTGATTTCTCTTGTCTTTTGGTTCTCCCGGTGCAGTCTATGTGATGGAATATTTTCATAACATTTAAAACCTCGAATCATACTTACATGTTCCTATATAAATTAAAATCATATTAAATTAGGTTTACCTGGAGAGGTTAGGTAAAGTTTGTCAGAAACAGGACAAGTGTTTCCTGACGCGGGGATCGACACCATGCCTAACCCTTCTAGGGTAGGGTAGGTGCCTGAGCCCGAGCCTTTAGCTCATAATACTGTCATTCCCATTAGCCCCCTTGTGGCGGGGATGGCAGACCAGAGAGGCCTAGCTTGTGGCTAGGCCTGGGGACAGTTGGTCCCAAAGATGAGGAGGTACTTGTGCCTCCTCCCATGGGAGACTTAGGTCTCAGACACTCCCTAAAGAGGGAGCCAAGGCCGGGCCACCACTTGGACAAGGCCCGGGCCGGGAGAATACCGGCTAATATTTAACTAAAATTTAACTAACCTGACGCGGGTCTTAGCCAGATGATGACCCACAGCTGGAACTTTTGGTCATCTGACCGAATCCTTCCGCTGGCTTACCAGTCTTCATATTAAATTCAACATTCTTGGGAATAATAATAATAATATCAACTTCATATCCTCAGTACAATACACTCGACCATATAATTTATCCCCATCTATTCAGTTAAAACTAAATTTAAATTATTTAATAATGTCTAGACTTCTTTCATTAATGTTCACATTATTTCAGTATCGATTTTAAATATCTATTTAGGAAACAAATCATGCCTGGTGGTGATTTTTGTAAATACTTCAGTTACTTATTAATTATTATTAAAGATTAGCCGGTATTCTCCCGGCCCGGGCCTTTTCCAAGTGGTGGCCCGGCCTTGGCTCCCTCTTTAGGGAGTGTCTGAGACCTAAGTCTCCCATGGGAGGAGGCACAAGTACCTCCTCATCTTTGGGACCAACTGTCCCCAGGCCTAGCCACAAGCTAGGCCTCTCTGGTCTGCCATCCCCGCCACAAGGGGGCTAATGGGAATGACAGTCTTATGAGCTAAAGGCTCGGGCTCAGGCACCTACCCTACCCTAGAAGGGTTAGGCATGGTGTCGATGTTCAGTTACTTTTTTTTTTTTTTTTTTTTTTTTTTATTCGCCGGTATTCTCCCGGCCCGGGTCTTTTCCAAGTAGTGGTGACCCGGCCTTGGCTCCCTATCTGGGGAGTGTCTCGAGACTTAAGTCTCCCATGGGAGGAGGTACAGTACCTCCTCATCTTTGGGACCAAGTGTCCCCAGGCCTAGCCACAGTCCCCGCCCTCACGGGGCTCGTAGGGAGAAGCTAGGCCTCTGGTCTGCCATCTACCCCGCCTCGAAGGGGCTCGTGGGGATGGCAGTCTTGTGAGCTGCAGATGGTAGCAAGCTCAGGCTGTTGTTCAGTTACTCCTTTATAGGTAAATTATTGATATTTTCTTGATGTCTATGTATAAGTAAACTGCAGCATTATGTAAATCCATCACTAGTCGTAAATTAATCTTCAAATATTTACTTTAATATTAGCATCATTTAAATTTCCAATATTTGGGTATAATTTACTTTTAGGCCTTAAAGGTATTTGATTTTGACGTTTATTAATTATATCTTTTACAATATAATAATACTTTTATTTACTACAAGCACATTTACAAAGTATACAGGCCGAGATGACGGCAATGACATACTACAATACTATAAAGAAAGCCGCTTGTTATGCTGAGCATTTCAGGCAAATTAGGGCAGTTTTGTCCCCCAGGATGCGACCCATACCAGTCGACTAACACCCAAGTACCCATTTTACTGATGGGGAACATAGACAACCGGTGTAAGAAACACGCCCAAAGTTTTTACCCTCGCTGGGAATCGAACCCAGACCCTCGTCGTGTGAAGAGAGAGCTTTAGCCACGGGGGCCTGATGAGGGTATTTCTCATTCGGAGACTTGTGGAAATATAGTAAGCCTCTGTAATGAGTGCTGGTGTTGTCTGAGACACATGGTGTCGTGAGACACACAGTATCCTTAGACACATGGTGTCTGAGACACATGGTGTCGTGAGACACACAGTATCCTTAGACACATGGTGTCTTGAGACACATGGTGCCGTGAGACACACAGTATCCTTAGACACATGGTGCCGTGAGACACACAGTATCCTTAGACACATGGTGTCTGAGACACATGGTGCCGTGAGACACACAGTATCCTTAGACACATGGTGTCTTGAGACACATGGTGTCTTGAGACACATGGTGCCGTGAGACACACAGTATCCTTAGACACATGGTGTCTGAGACACATGGTGCCGTGAGACACACAGTATCCTTAGACACATGGTGTCTGAGGCACATGGTGCCGTGAGACACACAGTATCCTTAGACACATGGTGTCTTGAGACACATGGTGCCGTGAGACACATATTGTCCATGGCAGGGACGTGAGACACACGGTGTCATAATCCTATTGGTGCCATCAGTGTGACCTCGACCACAAAATGAAAAAAGGTGGTGCTTGCTCCATCACTCTCAACCAACCTCTATCTCCTCCAGCTTCCCGTCAGGGTTCTCTCCTTCTTTCCTTCTTCCCTCTCCTCACATTTTTCTTTTTTACCTCCCCATTTTCTTGTGGCCTTACCCCCCCCCCCTTGTTTCCGCCCTCTTTTCTCTTTATTCTAATGAAGTAATCAAAGTGAACAGTTAATGAAGTTTCAATCCTGTCTACCACACGAAGGTCATTAAGGTTGCAGGTCACCTGTCCATCACCAGTCAAGAATATCTTAATACCTAAACTAGAGCCCCCCTATACCTCCAGGTAAACTACAGCCCCCTACCTCCAGGTAAACTAGAGCCACCCTACCTCCAGGTAAACTAGTGCCCCCCTACCTCCAGGTAAACT